TCATATGGATGAAATTCCCCTTGGAGTAACTGGAAATAGTGAATAAATCTTCACCTTTAGGAGAGCTAAACTATAAAGAGCAAGGTAAAGACAGACCAGGAATAGTTCCTGTTCATCTTACTTCTAAATTTATTAAAAGTCCAGTTTAGATAAAATGGTCAACAGTTTAGTACTACTGTAGATTTAGGAAGAGCTAGAGTGGATGGAGGATTAAGTTCCATGTCTTCTCTGTTAAATGGGAGAAATTGTTCTTAAACAATGCTCAAAGAAAAATTGTGTTAATTTTAAAAGCACCATTTGCATTCAGTCTTTTAATATGTGATAGTCTTGCAATAATAAAGTAGGTTGGTTTGGGCTTTTGTGTATATGTAATAATAACTTTCCTTTTTTATTACATCAGTAAATCACAGAGATTACAATGATTTCAGAGCTTGCAATGCAAATTACATTGTGCTTACGTATTAGCTGTTGTATTTCTCTGCCACAATAATAAAGCATTGCCTCGATTCTAATTTTTTTCTCCTCATTTTTTTTATTCCTGCTTGCAGTTCAGAGTTCCTCAGAGCACAATGAGATTATTCACACTTCTTGCCAACTTCTAGTTTCAGCTGGTGTGAAAAGAGGCAAGCAGAAGTCCTTGCCAGCTCTTGCATTAGTTGTGCTGTAAGAATTGTTCAGAAGACAGCAAACTCTTCACGAAAGTCACAAAGTCATGCAATATGAAAAAATAAAATGTTGTGCCTCCATGTATTATATTGAATTGAAGACAACTTCTCCCATTCACTGCTTTCAGTGAATGTAAAGTAGTTGTATCATGTCGGACCGAAACGTTCATTTGACAAAACATCTTGTCTCTGCAGTAACCAGTAGAAGAAGACAAGGCAGGGGTGTAAGACAATAAAGACGTATTGTGATACAGCCTCAGCTGAGGCTCGAGGAGTCTGCAGTGCAGCAACATTGTGGAGAAAGTGTACCTTTGTGTTTAACATAGCAATGATGGAAGTCTCCTGCTAAGCTTTTGGCTCACTCTTTGAAGCCATGCAAAATTTTACCATCAGCAGCTTGCTGTGCCAGTAAGTTCTGTGGTTGAACTATGTGAGTATTTCCTTTTCTGTTTTTTAATCTTGAGAGCATCATTATATGTGTCTAGTTCTTTATGTGAGAAGAGACAGTGACTATTCCTATCCATTTCCATTATGGTGCTGCTGACTTTATAATCTCAGCGTTGGCCCTCTTTGGATTACTCCCTTTTGCCCTAGTCATCTATTCATCTAACAGTCCACATGTGTAATCATCTGGTGGCCTTGGTTAGTACCTTTCTACTCATATGTTATCGATTTCAAATGGGACATCATGATATTGACAAGGTACCTGCCCACAGCCTTCAGGATTCAGGTGCGCTATGGACACAACCATATAATGATGTTTCTGATTCACCCTAGACTTGTCTGCGTGCTATTTGCTTTTCCTTTCATCACTACTGAGCATTGACATGACATTTGCACAGAATTGCCTACTGGGTAACTAGGTTGTCTTTCCAGAGCGCTAACAGCTTGCTCACAGTCTGACATTCTTCAGGTATAATTAGGATTGCCTTCTTCATGTGTGCTTTGCATTTATCTACACAGAATTTAATCTGCCATTTTATTACCTAGCCATTCAAAATCAGGAGAACTTTTGCAGGCAGGTTTACTTTTACAGTGCTGAATAATTTTAATTTATATTCGATAAATCTCGCCACCTCCCAAATCACCTCCTTTTCCAGATCACTTATGACTGCATTGACCAGTTCAGGCCCTTGAACAGATCCGTTCTCCAGGAAACTTGATCATCTTTCCCTTTGCGTCCTAGGGTTGACCACCTTGCTTAGGAGTTTCAAGGCAGAGTTAGGACCACATTGAATTTCTTTCATCTAGATGTTAATAATTTGAGTTGTAAAAAGACGTTTTTGTCCTGCAATATTGAAAACAAATTTCTGTGTGGCACACAGATTAAAACCTGCTATCTTCAGGAAGAGTTTATGTCTATTTGTTCTGAACGGTTTTCTCTGTATTGAGTTCTATTAAAAGTGTTCAGTAACATCATTTAAAATGGATTAGTACAGTTTTGTATGTGTGATAATACTGTATTACTAAGTTGATTCAAATGTTTTTTCATTGCTGCTGTTAATCTGTTGTTGATTATCAAAATCAAAATCATTAGTATAATGGAGTACATCCTCTCGCTATGATTTCAGTGGAGCATATCTAATAAACCAAAGCATCTGAAATTGGAATGTAATAAAAATGCGGTATTTATGTTAATAGAATATTCCTGTTAAATGAGTGCTTCTAATGAATCTGCTGTGAAGCTGAGCTTGTAATAAGTCAAGTGTTACAGAAGAATTTGCACAATAGGAAGACAGCATTTCGTTCTACAGTGATAGTTTGTCATCTGTTAAAAATCTTTTGGATAAAATACATTATACTACTTTAAATAAAACTTACTGTGAAAATTCAGGTACCGTAAGTGAAATGCGTAAAGGTAGTTAATGGTTGTATTTCTAATACTCAAATATCATTCTTCACTGTGGATGAAGAAAAACTCAAGGGATTCTTCATGATTAGAGGACTTAAGAAAGAGTGGAGTGTCAGGGTTTGTGGGAAAGGGTGCTGATACCATTCAGCAACCAAACAGCCTTCCCTGCTTTCTTTTGTTTTCAAGGTTACACATTATTGGTTTCTTTGTTTTCCTATAAGGGGATTTCAGTGTGAAATTCTAAATGTGAAAATCATGGATTGAACTTTTTCCGGGATTGGAGAATACAAAAGCACAGTCACCTTGCAGAGCAAACAGGAGATAGGTTTAAATAAAAGCGGCCAGGAAAGGAGTGCGACTTACGACTGGAGGGATGGAAATCTCATCTGATCAGCTGATCTTTTTTCATTATTCAAAATGTAAATTGCAGAGGGAGAAGGGAAAATGATTCTTCCGAAGAGCAAATACCCTCACCCAGCCCTTTCCCAGGCACTTTTCTCTCATGATTCAGTCTCCCTAATCACTAATCTGCCTGTCCTGCCAGTGTCCATCTCTTGTCCTCAAGGAAGCCATATTTTGATTTTGCCAGCACTGCTGGTTGAAGCTGACTCAGTACTGATGGTGTTGGTTCCTGTTCTCTGTGATAGCAAGGAAATCTCCCAAACCCTCATGTCCCTGGTTCATCTTGTCTCACATGACAAGCAAAATACCCACCTCCCAAGACAGAACAAATGTGCTCTGACAGCTTTAGATAGGAGTTCTGTGAATAAGGAGTATTTGAGTAATAATTTAACTCTGTTTTTTTTTCACGCTCACACTCACTTTAATATAACAGACATATCTGTGTTATTAAAGGCAAATTTAAGATAGCTTAAGATAGTTCTCAGAATTAAGCTGTTGCTTTTCTCCATGTTATACGACTGTTGCCTCAAAAATGCTGGCGTGACTAATAATAGTAGTAGCTATGTTTGCTCAAACAGAGTCATTTGGGGTCTGAATGGAGTGGGAAGAAGATTCTAGAAATTTTGTATTAAAATTCTGTTTTTATAAATATGACAATGTGTATTTATTGTACATGCTAATGGATTTTAAATAATTGTCATGGTTCTTAGCTTTGCTAGGAGTTATTTTACATTTATTGGCCTATGCTTAATATTACTTCTAGTAGCAAAAACCTCTGTTCTAGAAAGAATTGCAGTAAAATGAGCTAAATGTTTTGAGTCTGAGACATTGTGTCATCAGACCTCACTTCTTTTGATTTCCTCAGTTTATAAAAGACAAACTTCAATAACCACCTCAAAATCTGATTATAGCTCAAGCTTACAACACCTCCTTGAACAACATTTTCTATGTAATTAGCAGATTTTTCTTATGTATTAATTACAGACCAGTCTGTTTGCAGATGAAAAAGAGCAGCCTCTTCTCCTTTATCTGCTACTCATGGGAAATAATTCTGTTTCTCTGGAGTTAGTAGGTGTTAGCTTAGCAAAGAGCAGTGGGTCTTAAATGTATTTATGATGTTAGTATTTTACTCCTCCATATCACTTCCCATATAGGAATAAATATTCATCACATTAAATTATTAATGAGCTAAGTTTTGTTTTAGGGAGGAAACTGAGTCAGAGAAAGTTTTACGATTTGCTCATAGTTTAGCTGTTAGCACAGAAAAGTATAAAGGCCAGATACTTTACATCCTAGACCTGTGCTTCTGCCATAAAATCTCTCTCTTTACTATTCAGAAGATATTACAATTCCTAATTTGACGGAAGTAGAATGTCTTTTCTTGCCACAGAAATACATTGGAAATTACTCAGGGTGAGTTATACTACCATGATCTATAGCTTAATTGATGTACTCTATTATATGTATCCCTGCCAGCACACATATTCCAATGGTTATATTTCAGTCATTGAATTCTTTGTCTGCATGGGAAAAAAAATAGTTTTGTTGGAATGAAGTCCATTCAGTTTTTGAATGTTAAGTAGCACTAGCCATTTGCATATGTCTGTAGGAAATACTTGCAGCATTGTGCTCCATAGACATAAATCCAAGGTCCTCTTAAAAAACATGATCAGTGTTGCTAACCTTTCAGTAAGGATCTGTGCTAATAAGGGTTTAGATGTAGGTGAAGACTTAATGTTTCATGCATAGCAGCATTCAGCCTGCACGTAGAAACTCAGAAATACTACCTACAGACCTTCGGTTAAGTGTTTTGGTTAGTTTTTGCAGTTGAAGTAAAGATAAACCCAAGATACCTGCCCTTCTGTTTAGTTAGAGGACAGTATTTGCTTACTGGGCACAGTACTGAAGCTGAGACCAAAACAGTGTAAATCATTTCTAAAGAATACTTTAAAGTTCTGTGCTTAAAAATAGCTATGATCTATGAGAATTGGTAATGATTGACAGTACCAATGTGGGTCCTTTTTTAGGGTAGAAGCACTTCCACTTAATGTCTTTTTTTTTTCCTCTCTCCCTCTTCCTAGATGCAGCAATTGTTCCATGAAAACTATGAACACAACCGCAAGGGTTACATTCAAGATCTTCACAACAGCAAAATTCACACAGCCATAACACTTCATCCAAACAAAAGACCAGCCTACCAATACAGGCTGCACAATTACATACTGAGTCGCAAAATTTCTGAACTGCGCTATCGGACCATCCAGCTCCATAGAGAAAGTGCCCTCATGAGCAAGCTCAGCAACAGTGAAGTAAATAAGGAAGATCAGCAACTGGGAGTGATGCCATCCTTCAATCATTTCCAGCCACATGAAAGGGATGAAGTCATCGAGTGGGAGTTCCTGACAGGAAAATTTCTTTACTCGATGGTGGAGAACCAGCCACCCCGGCAAAGCCTGAGCAGCGTCCTACGGGCTGCACTGGATGACACTGTGATGCAAGTCATGGAAATGATAAATGAGAACTCTAGATCTAGAGGAAGGCTCATTGATTTCAAGGAAATACAGTATGGCTACCGCAGGGTCGACCCTCTGCATGGAGTAGAGTACATCCTGGATTTACTGCTTTTGTACAAAAGGCACAAAGGAAGGAAAGTTACAGTTCCAGTGAGACGCCACGCTTACCTTCAGCAATTGTTTAGCAAACCTTTCTTCAAAGAAGCAGAGGAGCTGGATGTAAGAACCCTGCTGGAGGATACCAGCAGTGACACTCAATCTTCCTCTTTTCTTTCAAATTCTTTAAAGATTTTTTCCTCATCGTTCCAAGGCACCAAAGACACTGGGGGACGCAGTGACAAGAAAATACATATTCTTGTCCCTCTCACAGGAAGATTTGACATCTTCTCAAGATTTATGGATAACTTTGAGAAGACTTGTCTGATTCCCAGGCAAAATGTGAAGTTGGCAATAATTCTCTTCAGTTCCGAGTCAGGCCAAGACTCCAGCAAACACATAGAGCTGATGAAAGAATACAGCATTAAGTACCCTAAGGCTGATATGACCCTGATTCCAATGGCAGGAAAGTTTTCTAGAGGTTTAGGTCTTGAAATGGCCTCATCTCGATTTGATAATGGCACTTTGCTGCTGTTCTGTGATGTTGATCTGATATTCACACCAGACTTCCTCCAGCGATGCAGAGATAATACTATTCAGGGAGAACAAGTTTACTACCCTATCGTCTTTAGCCAATATGATCCAAAAGTAATATATGGAGGCAACCCTCCAGCTGACAGTAGTTTTGTTTTCACAAAAAGAAATGGATTTTGGAGGGAGTATGGATTTGGAATTACCTGTATTTACAAAAGTGATCTGCTGACTGCTGGTGGATTTGATACCTCAATTCAAGGCTGGGGACTTGAGGATGTAGACCTCTTTACAAAAGTGATAACATCTGGCTTGAAGGCTTTCAGAAGTCAAGAAGTAGGAGTTGTCCATATTTTTCATCCAGTTCAGTGTGACCCCAATTTAGATCCAAAACAATATAAAATGTGCTTAGGGTCCAAAGCAAGTACGCTTGCCTCTACCATGCAGCTTGCTGAACTCTGGCTACAGAAACATTTGGGTGTCAGGTACAATCGAACTCTCTCCTGACATCTCAGCCTATTTGGCCTTTTTAGGGGAGTTTACCTCATTACTGTTATTATTATTTGATTTTGCTGTCATAGTTTTAAACTCCGTCCTTGTTGTCTTCCAAAGACTGTTGACCTCAAACAGGATGAGGCTGCTGTTCACTGATGTTTCTTATACCTACTGAACTGGTGAGGTGAATTCCTTCATATTTACTTTATTTGAAATTCAGTCAAGTCACAGTAATCATATGATCCCATGGAGCACATCCATCACAAGAGACTGCATCAGAAGAATGTTCTCTTTCAGCTTTGGGATGCAGTATCATCTTTGTTGCATTTCTGAGATTTGATGTGATATAAATATTTGCTGGTGAAGGTACCACAAAAGTGCTTTATGCTTCTTCTGGGGATGGAACTCTATAAGATAAACTTGAGTTTTATAATTTATATGAGGACTTATATGTATAAACGCTAATTTTCTTCATCTTTAGAATTTTTAAAGTAAATGAATAACTATGATTGTACTTTTATTTTTTAAAAAAAATGAAAAGCTAGGGAGCTACTTGCAAATACAACTGGTACTGGCTACCAAGGTCCTTAAATGTCTTATTATAACAACAAACTCCTCATTGTTGTTCACTCTAAGTGTAAATGAACTTTATTTTCACAAGGAACAGGATTTAATCAAATGCTTATGTACACTTTAGAAGATTTGTGAACAAACGTCTTTCATTTGCAGGCAAGAAGAAACTATGACATAACATGGTCATTTATGATAAAATGCAGGCATACAGTATTCTTTTTTTGAAACACATAGTATAAGTTGCTCTTTCTCTTCTTAGAATAAGTCTCTAATACATAATTTTCTTCTACATTTCTTTCATAAAGCTGCACTTGATACAGAGTGTTAGAAGTTAAAGCTGTATCTTTTTTTTTTTCCCCATTTTCCATGAATATTGGTACTCAGTAGCAATTTGTTGTTAAAATTAAAATAATTGTAGAATAATTATTTAAGTTTCAAATTTTACTATTGCTGGTCAGAGTTCCTTGCCAATATATTTATATTAGTGGAGGTTATAAGACTGTGTTAAGATTTATCTCTCTGGACAGCCTGAAGTTGTCATATTGTGGATTCACACAGTAAAGTATTTAAAATTATACCAACATAAGAAATAATAAAATCAAATTCTGTATTTTAGAGAAATGTTTATATAGGGATATATATGTGCGTGTGTGTGTGTGTGTGTGTGTGCGTGTGTGTATATCCCTCTATATATATGGAGAGAGAGAGAGAGAGAGTAATTTCAAAATGTGTTCCTCTTTTCAGTTCAGACAGCGATTTGTTACAATCCATTTTTTTACCACATGCTTGGAACATTTCATGTTATACTGTGGTAAGAGCTCAAAGGCATCCAAGAAATCATCAGAATTCAGCCAAACTTAAATTAATACAGTGGGTACATCTAATAACCTCAGTACCCTTGATTTCAAGCTAGATTTCAAATAGACCTGGGCAAGAAAAAGTAACTAACTATTGAATTTAGGTTTGTATGTTTTTCAACTGTAACTGACTCCTCCTGTATTTCCTTGCAAAAAACAACTAAGAGATTGGAATTCACTGACACGTCTATTTGTATGAAGATATCCTGATAAATTTCCTAAGGCATGAGGAGGGTGTGTAGGTCAGTTAATGACTCTTATCTGCAGTTCTCTGTTCTGGATTTACCATGCAAGGAAAAAGGCATCCCTGAAAAGGAGTGAGTAAACTCAGAATTAAAGGGCTGGCCATAGCTTTTTGTATGCTTTAAAAAAGGCAATCCCCATTGCCTTGGAGAAGGTAGTAATTGTGGTAGATGAGAACAGATAGAAGGTAATTCATGCTTCTCTGCCCTCCCCAAGGAGAGCTCCTGACTTGTTATTCTCCTGGAGGCTCTTGCCTTCCTAGCCCAGTATTGTTAGCTCAAATGTCTGGAGAAAATAAAATTCAGTATTACTTGTTAAATAATTCTTGAAAACTGCTCTTTAAATTGAGTGCAAAGGTCACGCTTTGTCCAATTAGAGAGCCAAGAACAAAGAACATACAATTTATTTGATCGATCTCCACTAACTGATGCAACTCAGATTGTAAATATAAAAAACTGAATGCCTGTTGATAAATGTTTGTGATGTTTTCATAAACATGAAAAAAAAAAATAATGATTTACAAAGACATATAAGGAAATCATTGTCTGCTGGGATATATTCCAGTGCTTATTTCAATTACTTAACTTAGTGGCCTGAAAGTATTTGCTCAACTCAAAGTAAAATAGTAGATTAGAACAGGAAATTAAATCAATCATTCAGTGGGGATAAAGATGTATACAGAGGGCTTGCAGGATCAGGTCCTACATGATATAAGCAAAATGTTAGTTATTTACCAGTACAAATATTTATTTAGTGTCTGACTGATTCATTTGTTTATATGATGAATTACTTTGTTAAAAAACCTGATATAAATGTTTATTATGAAATATTGCATTGTCTTTTGAAATAACTATCCTGAGATAACTTGAGAACTTGTGTTAGTTTGTTTAAGGAATAATATGCCTTCTAAGGAGATCATATTAAAAGAAAAAAAAAGCACAAAAGTGTTAGAGTAATGTTATGGATGTATAGATTTAAGATGGGAATGTCTATGCTAATCAGCTGTTTGCTTTTGTCCAGTCTGAATCATAATCTTGACTGTAAAATGAAATTTCTATGTATATGATGTCCCTTTGTAAATGCATACCTAATGAATTCACAATAGAACATAATGACCAGTTTTTCCAAAACCTCCTTACCCTGGGAATAGGTTCCATGGTTTCGTTGCTGGGAAGTGGGTTGGAAGTTGCTCGCACTTCTGCTTTTCAGACACTGCCTTTCTTAAAAAAAATCTCAGCTATCCCCACACAGAAACCTTAGAAATCCCCATGCCACCCCAACCCTGACATGTTTTCCCATTCACACTACTTAATTTAACAGAGCATTTGGATCTTCTGGATGAAGCAAAAATATCAGGTTAGGCTTCCTAATACTTGCTGAGTATACTCTGCATCAGGGTACTGGTTCTCAAGCTGGAGAAAGGCAGAGGGCCAGGGGGAGGCGTGAGGCTCAGCTGTGGGAGTCGGTGCCTTCTCCCTGAGTTAGCTCCTTGCTGCCACCAGCGCTGCCAGATGCCTCTCCTTGGAGCCACAAACAGGCAGCGCAAGCCAGCGCAGAAGAGCTGCGCTTGCTGCCACCAGCTGCTTTGGGGAAGCAAAAGGGACATTTTAATCAGGGCTTGGGAGGAGTGAAAGGAGGATGCCGAACTGAGGTTTCATTGGGTTGGGGTGGCAGGGTATCTTGTGCAGATCCTGTGTCTCCTTGTCCCCAGGTGGAAAGGGAGTCTGGTCCCACACCTCTTCCCTGTTTCCCCTCAAGGGGCATTGTGAAGTAAGGGGCAAAACCAGCAGTCCTTCCTCTCAGTGGGGCTAGTGGGCATGGACCATGCACTTGGTGTCCTACCATATTGTGGGACATGTGAGGAAAAAGCTGCCAAACAGTATTGCCAAAAGCAGTACAGAGAGAGGCATGTTCTGCATGCACCAAAGACCAGAAGAATGTGTACATAAGTGCCTTTTGGAGCCTTTGTACCGGTGTGTGCTTAACAGTGCCTCAAGACTCTTGCAAAAATTATAATGCTGGTAAAATGGCTCATAGGAGTGCGGTGCGGATCCTGAGGAAATGTGGAGACTTCAAAGGAGCATGAGTTAACAACCACTTTCTTTACATAGAACAAATAAGGAATTCAAACTTCTTTTGGTTTCTTAAAAAGTAATTCTAGTGATTAGTTAAGACATAGTTTACCACACAGAAGATTTTGCTCCAAAGAACAATGCTAGCTTTAAGATACAAACAAAACACATGTGTAATTTATATCTGATTTTCCTGCAACTTGAAATTGGTTAAATTTTTGGAAAAAAATATGGACTAAGAATTGGTGAGCCACTGACTGGAGGAAAGTTTTGTGTTGCTGCTCTATTTTTAAAAGAGAATCAGATGAGAGGAAAACAAAAAATGCCTATAGTAGATACACACAAAAATCAGCCATGATGTGAGGGTAGCAGTGATGATGACAGTCCTAAACTGCAGCACAATGGGATGTTTTACAAAAGTCTATTTACAATAAGTGAATATCACTGAAGGTTATACTCTGTCATAAGTCTGTAAGTAACATATAAAGTTAAATCAGTCCATTTTGAATTCTTTCATTTCTTAGAATAATTTTCTTTACATTTTCTTCTGTTAGCATTTATTCACTTGATTAATGAGCTGGCTTTATGACTCTCTCTCTCCTTCCTATTTTTCTTTTCCTTGGGTCTTCCCATTTGCTATATATATTACTACAGTATTTGAAACTTTCTGAGCTAGCATGATATTTCCGTTATGGTTTTATGATGTCACTGCCATATAAAACCACTGAACTAGAGTATTTTGCTGAATGAATTTCCAGTCCTGCTTCAAACTCTTTCCATTTGCCTGTCACTGTAAGTTAAAAGTGTTCTGAGTATTATTACTTCATCCCTTCCTCTGGTCTCCTTCATACTGGAACTCCACCAAGGCAAGGAAATGCAAACACTTTCCAATCCTTAAGTCTAGGAAAATGAACAGAATCTGGGGATTTTCTTGATCTCTTTTTGTTTGTTTGTTTGTTTGGGGTTTTTTACCTTCAAATCTTTTATCTAGGATTCCAGAAGTGTATTTATCAGTTCCATAATTTTAATAAAATAAATACTGGTTATTAAGATGTAAGATAGCACATATATGCACTATATGTACAAACTGTAATTTTACATCTTTATTTTCTAGGCACCTAATTATTCAACAGATGTTTGCCATTTACAGGAACTTTGATGACAAATTAAAAGTATCCTTGGTGATTTAGCATTTATTTAGCATTACTGGAAAGCTTAACCATGTAGGCAGAGATCAAAAGATGCACTATATACTGTAGGCTGATGGGTTTTGTTTCTTTTGTAGTGTTGGTAGAAAGATGTCCTCAGCTCTGCATGGGATGCCTGCAGTGTGGTAGTGTTCTTCACAAATCAGCTGTGTCTAGGAATGATTTTAAGTGATTGCAAAGCCACGCAATAGCATCCAGCTTCATACAGCAGGCAAGACTTGCTGGACTTACTTGAACATGTGAGATACTGATCCTCAGATTCAGAGGGTCTCTGGTGTGGCATAATCAGATGGTAGGTATATAGAATCATAGAATCATAGAATGCTTTGGGTTGGAAGGGACCTTTAGAGATCATCTAGCCCAACCCCCCTGCAGTTAGCAGGGACAGCTTTAACTAGAGCAGGTTGCTCAGAGCCCCATCCAACCTGACCTTGAATGTTGCCAGGGTTGGGGCCTCCACTGCCTCTCTGGGCAACCTGTGCCAGTGCTTCACCACCCTCACTGTAAAAAATTTCTTCCTTATATCCAGTCTAAATCTACCTTCATTTAGTATAAAACCATTACTCCTTGTCCTGTCACAA